GATGCCTGGCCCCCGTGTGTTGGTGCTGTCTGGTGTCTTTGGTGCTGAGTTTTACCAGACGAGTTCTCCATTGCTGGTCTTGAACTGCACTCCGTGCATGATGCACTTTTTGTCCATTGAAGCAAGCGTGTCCATTTGTTGTTGCAGCCGTGTCGTGACGTTCTCAATGTCGGTCTTCGTATCGCGTCGTAGACAATGCCCTGCGACGTTGAGTATGTGTGGGGCTTGACCTGCTCGGGGGTAGTGCGTTGGGGCCTTTGGAGCAAGTACCGCAGTGTTTTCGAAGTCTTTAAGGAGCCTGACGAGCTCACGACCTCTTGGGTTGTTATTCCTGCAGTTCCAGTCATGTGATTTCGCGTTGAAGTCGCCTATGGCCACTGTTGGGTGGCTGGCCGAACTGGAGTTCGGGCTTTCGGTTTTCGTACTGCGCTAGGTCGGTCCTCACTAGGAGGAACTTAGCATTGAGATAGCGATTGGTATGGGTAGTTTCTTGGTAGACAGCGTGTGAGTAAGAGTTGTTTGACTTTGTTATGAGATCATCCAGGAATGGAAGTAAGTTATTATTTTCGACTTCTATTGTGAATTTTACGTCAAGGTCCAGGAAGCTGAGGCTCGGGAATGCATGATGGCCTTCGGATCCATGGAGCCATATAACAAATAAACTTATTTGTAGAATTTGCCCTGGAAACGGAAATTTCAGAATTTCAATGAAGTGATAGGTGTTTCGGACATATGATGAAGAATGTACGGCTAGTGATTGAAGGGTATTTGCAAGATAATTGGCAAGGGCGTGTGTGGGTGATCCGAATGCACTAACAAAGGGACGAAGGAAATGTTTGGTTTGTGTATTTTTGGAAGACTACACAAACGAGGTGTACGAGAATATTTCTCTCTTGGAATGAGCAATGCCTTTCTCTCAGTGGGAATGTTGGAATTGTTGACTAGTGCTTTGATCTTTTTTTCAAAGTATGTGATTAGGTATCTTTGCCATATTCTGGTTATGTCTGGAGTTTAGAATTAGACGGATCCACTCTTAATTCTTTTTCTTAATTTATAGGTCTGGGTGGTACCATTTACCTGGGTCCCTTCTGTTTCTTGTTTTGACCCGGCTACCTGTGTTGACTCGGTTACCGGTTTTGTCCTGCCTGCCTTAGTCATTGTACTTGAAGTATCACGTGCTAAGTTTTGCTTTTGGGGTTGTGCGTTCTGTTTGATTTTGCGAAGTGACAAGATGGATCTCCACGTTGCTGGTAATTTTTGCGCATTACTTCTCTTGTTCATACTTCTGGGTCGTTTTTCAATTATGATAGTCTTTCTGATTGTTCGAGAGTAGACGTTTTTATTGCTTACTAGCGTTTTTATGTTCTCAACATTGATGTTGTGTCCTGTCGCCAATAAGTAAAGTTATAGAGATGACGTGGAGACATTTCCCTTCATTGATAACTTGTATTCATCCCTGCATTCGCCTGTTGGTCTTGCCGATGTGAGTCTCGTCAAGGTATTTCGTAAGCTTTATGGAACTCAGCGGTATCTAATCATTTGGATCAACGGATCATGGACCTTATTGTACGTTCCGGTACGAATGATGTTGCTATATTTTGTTGTTGGAGAATTGATCTGATTTGCTGTGATTCCTTTAATACATGGTACCGTGGTTGTTACCACTGGTGTTTTTGGGGTTTTCTGCTATTTCTGTATGCTCTTGGAAGCCGCTTTTATAATTTTCTCTGAGTAGTTATCAATTCGTAGAGATGGCCTGATGGTGTTCAACTCTTGTTGTCTACCAGCCTCCTTGAACGTGTTATTAGTGTTTTTGCAACCGAATGATTTTTTTGAGTTATGGTATGTGTTTGCGTTCAGGTATCACATCGAGAAATGCGAGCTGGTTGCCTTCTTCAACTTCTTTCGTGAATTTGATCCGTGGGTTGATTCCATTCAAGTGTTTGGTGGTTTGTCAGTGTTGGTGGCTTGACCAATCAACCGACAACTGCGGTAGCAGTTAATCAACACCCTGCTGTAGCAGGGCAAACATTTAAGGGACTATTCCTTGGACTATTCTAAATATATTTTGATAGGGCGCTTTGTTTTGAAGATACGGGGCGAAAACGAATTTCGACAATAACAACTTATTACCAAAAATTACATGTAATGTTTCTTAATTATCCTAAATCATCAAAGGACAAAAAATTCTCAGAATAGTCCAAGGAATAGCTTCTTAGTTTTTTGCCGCATGTTCAATAAACACTCTCTGTATATATCTCGGAAACGGTATCTCCTACAAGAACGTTTAAATGGAACAAAAATTGCCTTTTCAGGGATGCATGATGATGCATTCTCAGATTGACAAAATCAGCAACCTTTTCTGAGATATTTGCAAAAAACTGAAAATGGTAGATTTTCTTTTTTGCTCTCCTGCCTCCATTTTCAAAAAAAAATAATGACATGAGAAATTTTTGCTTCATTTCATGTTCTTCATAATCTGGTTTAACCCAAATGTGATGTTTCGTTCATGGAAATCCATCATCAATACATTTTTTTATAACGAACCTGTATATTTTTTTATACCTATTAGTAGTCATTGCAATTACAAATTCATTGACATATTACAATATGTATTTCCCGACGTTTCTTCCAAAAACATTTCATTAGAATTCCATCATTTAACTTTTTTTTCAATGAGAAATCAAATTTCTAAATATCGTTGCAAGCACAAAATTAATAGTATCGTAATACACCTCACTGAAAAAGAAACAGTTGCATAAGAGAATGTAACAAAATAATAAATCTAGAAATGGTGTGCTTGTGGCAGTTCTATAACATCTGTGGAGTGATAGCCATCCAGGGTCTCCTGATTGGATATTTCAGTTCCTCAATATTTTCAAAATTTGTCCGGCGAACGTAGTGACCATTCAACAGGACCATTATTTCCTCAGGGGCACTGCCTTGTTCTCAATTTTTTTATTTTCCACAAATCCTAAATCAAACGAATGTTACTTTATCAGTATTGTGAATTTGTTTTGAACTCACCTAAAACACCGGCAGTTATCACCCGAAGACTATTGTGGATACTAACAATCGAAACGTTGTGACATAACTTGATTTGGAATCTTTTAATTTTTATTTTTCATTCTTGTTAATAATAATTTTTAATTTTCAGCTTTTAGTATTATTTTAATTTTTTATTTTTTTGGTTGTTGTTTGGTTTTATGTTATTTCTGTGTAATTTCCGTTTTTTTTGTTCAATAAAAATGTTATTTTCGGTTAATCTTTCAGGAATTTCAAATCAATTTATATTATATTGGACAATGGAAGTCCGAACTGATGAAATACAATGAAAATCTCGGCTGCCAGAGCCTTAATCAATTTATCAATTCTTTATTTCGTTTTCTCAAGAGCAGTGGAAAAAACGTTGCGAACACGCTAAACGTTTCGAAGAATTTTATGCTTCGAAGAAATTTGCTTTTGATATCGCAATAGACAAATTTATTATTAATGTTCAAGGTCATAGTGACAACGATACTACCAGTGAGGGTAGTGATAACTCTTCAAGTGATCCCGATCTATCTGGAGTTGAACCTTTGTAATTTTTGAATCATAACTGCAATTATATTTTTTTGATGTAACGTTTCCCAAAAAAATTCGTTTTGAAATATAATCTTGAATCTAAATAAATTACATTTACAGAATAAGTCTTTCTATTTTTCCTTAATAAACCTGAAATTAATGGCAATACAGGGTACTGAAAAACAGACTCATTTAAATTGAAATATGTAAGTACTACATTTATCATACTAAACTATTAGTTGACCATCAATTAAAAAACCATCAATTCTTATTGCTATTTGCAGTGAGGACTGTCCTCTCAGGCCACTTTAAAACCCAAATAGGCGCACCAAGTCGCACGATAGATTTCATCCTTTTCTATCCTAATGCGTTCTTTGTCAGTAGTGTGCGCAGGTGGTGATATGTTACAAGTCGCTGCCTATATTTGACAAGCTCTATATAAGTATTCATGTCGCTATTTTTATATTGTGACAGTATTTATTAATTTCTCACATAAAAATATTTGAATAGTTGCGTTACTTACTATAACGATGTCTTCAGAAGTTCTATTGATTGGTTTCTGTAAGGAATTATATGTTATCTGGTACTCAAAATGAACGAAGATTGAACAAGTTTTATTTTGTTAACCATTTCTGTAGGTTTGTTCCATAATGTAGATGTGCAATAAGAAAGGATTTTTGAATATTCTACCTGGGACGCAAGCCACAAGGGAAAAAGCGTGTCCATAAAACAACATTATTTTTTCTCCATGCTTTTGAATTTTCGGTGGGTGAATTTATATTTAGTATCAGCATTGCACCCGTACGGAGCCGTTGTGGGTCGCTAGTAATACATATCTTGCGAATTTGGAAATATATTCTAGATTGAACAGTGAAACTGTGGAAAACTCATGATTCTTCAGTCCTTACTTACTCATCTATCAAGTTCAGCATAGCTTTTGTGAGCTACTGGGCTGTAGTCCCCCGGGGTACGAAAATGGGTTTTCTATATCAACTCGCAATTTCTCTGTTTATATATCAGAAGTGAATTAGTGTTCACATTTCCGTTTCAACTATTCGTTGAAATAATTCATGGCGAAATTCCGCTTCTTCAGAATATCTGATGAGTTCACAAAAAAATGATTTCAAACCGACAATGTGGACTTACAACATCTGGAGTATATTTTTGATAGGATTACAAGAAATTTGACGAAAATTAAGTCTGGAATATGAACATATAAAAAAATGTCTGGAAAGTTATTTCGGAATGACGATAAATGTTTCATGATCTTACGATGTGAAGCTCGCCCAAAACTTTTAATTATAGCCGCATAAATGAATAAGTTATTGATTTATATCTATACGAGTATAAATATATGTGACGAGTATAAGCTGCATCACCAGTACTTCTAATAATTGAGAATGTACTTCTTTAATATAAATGTTAGTTTGAGCATGATGGCAACGATAGGAGCTCACCCTGAAATGAACAATAGCAAAATACAGAAGCTTTTGTTTTTAATGAATTTAGCGGTGTTCTCAGTTATTACCTATCTGGTATGTTTGATGCTATTCAAGGAAGATGAACTAACTATTACTGATATCACCGGAGCTATAGAATCTCTATTGTTGCTGATACATGTAAGTTTGATAGAATATTTCTCTTCTACTTAATTATTACCCAAAAATACTCTTCTTGAATTAACAAACATTAAAACCTTTCAGTATTAAAAAAAAAATTGTTTAAAAACCTGTTTTTCCGTTAATCAGCTGTCGCACCCATACGAACGACAACTCTCAGAAGTTGAGAAACCTGTGCGAGCTAAAACGAGGTCTTACCTTTTAACGTCTGATTCCTAGCACGGTTGCAGAATCATCCCAGCTTCAACCAGATAAATTCTCTCCAGAAAAATATCTGGTCGAGGCAAGAATCGAACCCACGGTCTTCCGATCGTGAGTCGGGCGCACTACCACCGCGGCCAATTCCACAATAATTTTAATATTAATATATGTCACAAAAGGATTTGAAATTTTATAACTCCTATTTATTATACGCGAGCGCTTTCGACAGCTGGTCGTGCTTTCATCTTCAAGGCTCTAGTAGAGCAATGAAAAGGAGTTATTTGCCAAGCAATCATAGGAAAGTGAGCAAACTGCAGACACGTGTTTTTGGCTATTTAGTCTTCGTCAGTACTGTACAGCCAAGTGTAAAGGTTTGACAACACTTGGTGGCAAGAAAGGGGTCAAAAACAAACAAGCGGTTTCGCCATCACGGGCCAACTGCAATTTTGTGTCATCGTTGGAAGACCTTATGATTAAAAGGATTGATTCCCAACTTTGTCACGGGTGCAGCTATAGCAACCTGCGTGACATCCGGGTCCAAGATAAATAATAATAATAATAATAATGAATTTATTCAGGCAACGACATAACATAAACTGTTACAGGCACGAATAATATGTAAAACACATTGATACGATACATTGGTTACAATGATCCTAATTTATTTTGAACAAATTCAAGAAACCAACAAAGGAAATCCTGTGCGTGGGTATACATATCTTCTCAACTTTGATTTCTCATAATCGTTTCAAAATCGATGGATTGATGCTGTACCTACCTATGTAATTGAAATAAATATAAATATGTATATATAAATGATGTAGAAATATGTTAATATGTTAATGAAATATGTTAATATAAGGTTTAATAATTATTGAAAAAAAAATAAGAAGAATAATATTACGTTTAATTGTGTCCTAATATTGTAAATAATGCAATGTTAGTTATTTTTCAGGTCAATAAGACTATGGATTGCATTGCGCGGTTTACTCATTAACCATTTCCGTACTTTAGACTTGAATAGAGATACCGAGATACCTTCGTCAGTACGGTATGTACGGGGTTGAGCAAACTGGCCATCGGATGCCTGCTTCCACGTAGCTGACGCTGAGTCTATAGAGGAGATGGATATCGAGCTTACGACTCCAACTGACCTCCCTGTAAACTTAGATCAGGAGCGAGTCTACAGAGGAGATGGATGTCGAGTTTACGACTCCAACTGACCTTCCAGTAAATTCAATTCAGGAGCGAGTCTACAGAGATGGATGTCGAGTTTACGACTCCAACTGACTACCCTGTAAATTTAGTTCAGGAGCGAGTCTACAGAGGAGATGGATGTCGAGTTTACGACTCCAACTGACCTCCCTGTGAATTTAGTTCAGGAGCGAGGCTACAGAGGAGATGGATGTCGAGTTTACGACTCCAACTGACCTCCCTGTAAATTTATTCAAGGAGTGAGTCTACAGAGGAAATGGATGTCGAGTTTACGACTCCAACTGACCTCGCTGTTAATTTAGTTCAGGAGCGAGAGCTGCGGCGTACGCAGAATCTGTCTCAGGTGGGGGAACTAACCCCCCATGAGTAGGTTAGCAAACGTTTGCGCTCAAGTGATGATTCACCAAAATCAGAGGCGAAAAAGCTCTGCACGGCTGAATCTAAGGCATCGTCAGGTGTAGCTGACGTGCAAAAACCCTCATATGTGAAGGTTGTCGTAGGTATCAAGGTGTGAATCTTGCAACTTGACTATCCGACTACCTCTCTAAGATAGCATATACTTTGTGCCTGCGCCGCTGGGGACCGAATCAGGTCTTTAGAGTTCGGCAGAGCAGTACTCTTACCATCTGACCTGAAAGACTACTCACCATACAAACCAATCGTCGAGTGTGAATAGGTCTGAGCCACAATAAACCCTTGCGGTGGAGGGTCGAATTGAACCACTTAATTTGGACCTAACCTAATCCAACCAACGATAGACAACACTTGGTTGCAAGAAAGGGGGCAAAAACAAACAAGCGGATTCACCTTCAGGGGCCAACTGCGATTTCGTGCGGTTTGCCCACTTTCCTCTGAGAGGATCCTCATATTTGTATCCTACACATATTTGATGAAGGAAAGAAAATTAATTTGTTGGAAGCCATGAAAAGTAACAAATCAATTAAAAACCCTTATAATCTTCAGTGTTGAATTTTATAGTTGGCACCCTTGTTCATTTAATTACCTCTCCTTCTAGCTTACCATGAACTCCGAACTCCCCGAGTTTTCAGATTTCGCATTTTAGTTTCATACTTGATAATTGGGTAAAACCCGAAAATGGTCGTAAAAATAAAATAGTGGAAATTACACATAAATATTTTTATTTATCTCATCAAACTGAACATGAATTTTCACAAAATAAACAAGTCACCAATCACACATATTATTTGATTGAATTAAACTACCATTCAACTGTCAAGATGCATTTCTTCTTACGTTTGATATTACTTTAACGAAATGTACAATAAAACCAAAAGAAAAAATTGAATATTTAGGAATCATCATAGATTCACATCTTCACATATAGATTCAAGTATGTGACGGAGTACTTGGACCAAGATCAAAAAATCATTTTGTACAAAAGTCTTGTCGAACCGCACTTGAAATACGGCATTCTCGGATGGGGCGGGGTGTCAAGAACACACCTTGATGCATTGGAAGTATCCCAAAGAAGATTCTTGAAAATCGTCCTGAATAAAAATAGTAGATACTTCAGTGAGCAAGTATATAAAGAGACAAAATCGTTTGATCTGAGACAAAGATATTTTGAACAGCTGAATATTGCGGTAATCCAAAAAAATTGACTTTCTCAATTTGGATCATACGTATCTTACCAGAGGAAAAAACAAATTTGTCCAACCGCCAGTGAGCAAGTCAGTAGGCCAGAAAAGTCATCAATTTTTGGTTTCAAGGGCTTTCAAAACTCTTCCTGATGAAATAAAAATTCAACAATCGATATGAAAATTCAAAAGGGAGGAACCGAAGAGCGATTCACCAAATAATTGAAAACATTGAAAAATAACATCTTACAGCGAAATTAGTATACAAATATATAGGATATTTTCTATGTACCCCGGTTTCATTGGTTTTGTTCATTTGTAAAAGTTTTAGTTTGGATCTAATTATACCTTCATCAAATTTGATTATTAAAAACTAATTGATTGATATTTCAATACTTTTTATTTTATGATTGAGATATTTCAACATGTCATTGAGAAAATGTAATATTTCTATTATTATTATTATTATTTATGTGTTATTCATATTGTTATTATCTGTCATATTTATGTTATCACGCACAAGTCACTTCTGTGACTTTTGTGATATTGTCTGTTTGTTCATCAAAATTTTCTATCAAATGTATATAATGATATATCTGTGAATAAACATTATTATTATTATTTACTGAGATATTACAGTTTGAAGTAGACTTATAAAAAACGACAAAGTTTATTCTGGGACATTTTTACATTTTCAAAAATATAATTATCTGTTTCCAGGGTGCTTTGAAATTACTCACTCTACACCTACAGCATGATGGAGTGAGAGACATGCTCGAACAGACTAACCACTTCTGGAATATCGAAGAAGTAGAATTTGAGGAAGAAAGAAATGAAATTTCGAAGTTCCTAAAATATATGAAAACGATATTATACTACTTCATGGCTTTTGCCTGTATGCCAACGATATTTTTCTGTTTCCGTCCATTTCTCCTGCATGAAAGGGTGCTTGTTTTCAACAGTTATATTCCAGAATTCGTCCCATACTTTATTATGCTACTAGTGGAAGATTATGCTTTTTTGATAATATATGTTGCATGCGTGAGTTTTGATATATTTTTCGCCACATTAGTAGTTTTGACGAAGGTGCAGTTTCTGCTGCTGAATCAAGAAATCAGAAGAGTTGTCGCAATCAATATAGAAACCGATGAGGATGCGAATGTCGTGAGGAATAAGTTGAAAAAATGCGTTGATCACCATAATTTCCTGTTGGAGTAAGTAAAACAAATTTAGATTGAGAATAAATAAGAAGCTTGTATTCACCAAAATCTTACTACATATCTTTTTTAGTACATTTGAAAATATTACTCTCAACTTATTCTCAATAATACAGATTATTTCAGGTTTGTGAAGAAAATCAACAATACGATGTCGAATGCAGTGTTAATGTATTTTCTAATTCTTATATTTTCTATATGTGTGGAGATGTTCATGTTGTCGAACAGGTAAGAACGACTAGTATGAATATTTGCTTTTTGTTTCTACAGAATTGTGAATACCAAATCCATCCATCGATTTGAAAAATATTAAATTGGTATCGTTCAAGACCAATTTCCTTTTGGATGATGTTATATCAAGAATTTTTCTGTATATCACAATAATAAATCTGATGAAAAAAGGACAAAAATAATCATTCATAAATCTGTACTTTTTTGAAAAAAAAAATTAAAAGTTAGAACTAAGCTGAATTTGAATTGAACATAATATAAGTTACAGAGAAAAAGAAAAAAATCACGTATAGAGATACGAAAAAACATAGATGACACATAAATATAAAAAAATATAAGCAGTTACTGTGATTTCAAAAACTCAAGTTGAATTACCTTAAATTTGTGAGTGTCACTGGGTTCTTAATAATAATAATGAGTTTTGTACTAACGTTACCATGAAATTTTCGTGGGATGTCAAATGCTTAGCAGTTACTTATTCACAATGACCGTTAAACTAATAAAATTGAATGATTGAATTTGTTCATTAACTTCAAATTCATTTGGCAGTGTTTTCTATTAACATTAGACTGATCTAAAGAAATTAACTTTAAACGTTCAAGCCAGTCTCGAATATACCTACACAGTAGGTTGAATGGACTGACACCTATCAGAAAACAACTACTCCAGTGACTAATACCACGAACGGCGTTGGATTATATCCGAGAGGCGTCAGTGCAGGAATCTTCACAGAAAATTTCCTGCATATGCAATTGGCAATACAACTGAAAGAGTTGACCTTCAATTTTGGAACGGGACACTTGCAGACCGGTTTCGGGCTCATTAGCCACTCATCAGTGCAAGATAGTGGCCATCATCGACCTAAATTCAATGATATTTCATAATTGAAAATCGGAATTCTTTCAGAGTATTTCATTCCTCTTCCCAAGTTGGAGCGAACAACAAAATATCACTACATCTAGTAGATGAGGTACTAACCAACTGCATATCCGTCATTTGCCCAATTCCTCTGAATAAGGCTTGAACGTTTAGAGTTCATTTCTTTAGATTTGTTTACTGCCAGTCATCAAGCATAGCCCACTGACTAATAAAAAAGAACATTAGACTGTATGATTGATAGCTAAAGGCGTCAATACATTTTTGAACCACGTATTCTAGTAAGAAAAAAAATTGATATCATATTAGTGACCGAGAGATGAGAGGTTTGAATCTCCCGCGAAGTCATTTTTTATATTCATTGCAGATAGTATGTCACGTTTCAGTTATGAACATATGTTTATTTCCTATAGAACATCCTGTACATATGTTTTTTTTCGAAAAATCGTTGCAAAAACAACTACGTTCCATTTTGCTTCCACCTGCGATGGTCAGTGTCGTTATGGAAAACGAGAGGATTCGACCTTTTTGGGGTATTTTTCACCTTCCACAATCTAAAAAATATAAAAATTATGATGGAGAATTTTATACAAGTGTAGAAAGGGCAAACATTTTAGTTTACCCCGATAACACAAAATTTGACTTTAACTTCAAAGCATCAAATTTCAATTCTTTAGGTCGTAATCAGATGAAAAAAAAATGAATATACTGCATGAAGAAGTTTGCTTTTTTTATTTGGGAAACTGTTTGAACGATATTTTTCAAAATCTGTTGTTTCAATTTTTAATTGAAAATTATACCATTTAAATAAACATTTTTATCATTTTTATTGAGTTCTACTATGAAAATACCTCACAAAAAGTAGAAAATGATTTAAAAGTGCACACTTTTACTTTTTCTTGTATGTTCATAGGTACTATCTCTCAATAAACCCCAAATATAGTCTCTATCATGTTTTCATTGTATTTGCCTTGATAACGTTGTTCGAAGCTCATAATGTCCTGGTGAAAACGTTCTCCTTGCTCTTTTGAATATGCTCCCATGTTGTTTTTGAATTTATTTAAATAGGCATGCAGCATATGTACTTTTAATGATGCAGCCCATGGCCTCAAATTTTCTTAGCATATTTTCAACTAGCTTTTTGTTGATGCGTTGCTATTGGCCGCAGTGTTTTTACCTGTTGATGACGTTACATTGCATTGCACTGTTGCCGCTTTAGCATCTTTTAGTACGGGATTCCAAATCCGGTTAGGCGTTATCGCCTCCTCTTTTCTGTTTGTAGTTTTCCGTATGTTTATGGCGATAACGCTTAACCGGATACTAAAAGATGCTAAGGTGGCAACAGTGCAATGCAATGTAACGTCATCAATAAGTAATAACACTGCGGCCAATAGCAACGCAGAGGCTATTGGCCGCAAGAAAGGCGGGCTACCTGAGTGAACATAAATACAACTTACGAACTAGAAATCACTAGTCATCGGTTAACCACCAAGATGAATAAACCTCTGAAGAAGCCAGCCACTCGTGCTGGCGAAACGTTAGGAGTTTTGAAATGTTAAATTATGAAATATTTTTCAAATTGTGGAACGTAAAAAATACCTAAAAAGTCGATAAAAAAATGATTTTTCTTCAAAAAAAATGATTTGGTCGAAATTATTTTTGTACTAATGAATAATTTATTGCCAATAAGTTTCAAGTATAAGTCACCTATGTTGGATGTAGGATTTTGCATGAAACGAAATATATCTCACTCGTTGGAATGGAGGTTCTACCTTTTGATAAAGAGATTTTATTGTGTTTCTGCAACATTTTCGAGGTTCGTATGTTACTATTCATTAATTTGATTTTCTGATAATATAGCTCTCATTATACCTTGTTGTGGATCACAAAAGCAATGACTGTTGAAGAATGCAAGCGTTTTAAAAGTATTTCTGTCAAGTTCATCGTTGAGTTCAAACATTTTTGGCGGTTTTCCGTACCCCCATCTTTTGGAAAATTGAAGAAGTTGAAGTTCTTTTTTATTTGGATAAATCTTATATCTCATAATTTCTCGAATCGCGTTTGGTTGAAAGAGAAGGGGAAATATACCAGTACAGAAATAGTTCACTCATCTATCCAATAATAGAGGAGATTACCAGATGCATTCTTTCTTTATTTTGTTACCACAAATCTAGTTTCATATTATTGTCTTTAGCAGCCATATGTGATTCAATTTACATCTTTCTTTTTTTTGTTTTCAAGCCATTTTGTGATTCGACTCAAAAAAATGAAATACTGTAATTAGTTGATCTTCGTCCTCCTCGCCCGCCTTCCAGTGGAGGAGGCATACGAGCAGTTAATGCGTGATGTTTTTATATACTTACTTAAGTAGAATTAGGTCAATTGTTTATATTAACTCGCTCAATAGATATTTTTGATTTTGATTCGATTTGTCATATTGGTGAGTGATAGAATAGCTACATATTTGAGTTCATTTCATAAAGTAGGGGGGAAACTTGAAACATATATTTTTTATATATTACATTATTATGAATCTTTTGGTATAGAATCGCTGAAGTTACTAAGTATCGTGTTTTCGACTAGCAAATAGTGAAATGTCCATCGGTTGGATTTTTAACAGACTATTAATTGATTTTATACCGATTCAAAGTGAAACATTCAAATTCTCACACTTTTTACTTGTGATGCACTGTTTGGAACCTTTGGCGTATTATTTTTAAAAACCTCGGCACGTTTTTCAATCACCAAGTGATCATTTCCAAGAGGAACTTTAAACTTTTATCTTTCTTTTGAAGATGATCACTTGATGATTAAAACACGTGTCGATATGTTGAAAATAACGGTTTGGTGTTGGAATAAAACTCCAGTTATATTTCTTAGATCTAATATTTGTTTGCATCTATTGTAGGAAAACTGTAAAGGAATTTTTCAAATATATATTCTATTCAGTATCCTTATCCAATGAATTCGTAGTATTTTATTGCTTACCATCTCAGCTTCTAACATCCGAGGTGAGTATTGATGATTAATTTTTTCACCTCTACATTTTGGTCCACTTTGCGGATGTTGTTGTTCAATACTGAGTTTTTAACAACAACATCTGAAGAAGTTATTGTATAGAGAAACGAGTGCCTCGGTTCTGAGAAGTATTATAAGAAAATCGAACAATAAAGTGTCCATTGAATACGTAACGATGGATTTTCATCAAGTATCGACCAGTTCCATCACATATTGAAAGAGTATAATTGAATAAGTATTCAATAATACTTCATATATACAATAAAGAAACAATGCAACTATCTTGTATCCAAATTACTTGGAACTCATTGTAAATATATGATCAGTATAGGAAGCCAGATTTATATATTTCTAATAAGGTTTGAAAATACTTGTCGTTACAACGATTCTAGTTCGCCCCTCTGCACCTTCCTACGTAATGGATAGAACTATTATATATGATTTTTTGACGCGATTGTATCTTCAAATAATATCATTATGATAATTTCATTATAAATGCAACTCTCCATAAGTTTGTTTATTACACTTGGAGTAGTAATCGATCGATAATTTTTTAGAAGCAGATGATTTCCTTTGTTGTACAGAGGTGAAACTTTACCTATTTTCGGTAGGTTCGAAAAATGCCCTTTTGTCACTGATGAATTGATGAGATACCTAAGAGGTTTGACAATGTGATGAGCTATTTCTTTAATAGCCCCATTTGAAAACTTTTTTTTTGTGATTCTTTTGCTCTACTGAATCCCATTCTTAGATACAGGTAGTGTTCCCCAGGGTAGTGTACATGATACAAATTAAAAATGAAACAATTCGTGAACACAACACTCCAAAAAGGGGGGGGAAACTTCGGACACGTGTGTCTGACTATTGGTCTCATCAGCGCGGTGCAGCCAAGTGTAAAGATGGGCAACACTTGTTTGCCGAAAGCAGGAAACATATACGCACGAAGTCAACAACAGAAGCCAGCCGCACATTTGTGGTTCCAGTTAGAAGACCTAGAATTCCCAGGCTATATCTAACATGACCACGTAGGCAGCTATAGCTACCTGCGTGACATCCGGGTCCAGGATATAAACACAGATAGAAATCAGCGCAGTCTTCTAACTGGAACCACAAATGTGCGGCTGGCTTTTGTTGTTGACTTCGTGCGTATATGTTGTTTCCTGCTTTCGGCAAACACGTGTTGCCTATCTTTACACTTGGCTGCACCGCGCTGATGAGGCCAATAGTCAGAAACACGTGTCTACGGTTTGCCTCCCTTTTTTAACACACCTATATTTACCTATATTTATATTGCGCTATTATGACCAGTACTTTCGTACTTCTTATTACAATGTTGGCTGCGACAAAAACTTCGTACAAGGGGTACAAGAGTCTTGTTTTGCACAATATTGTACTCCATTTTTTCCTTATCAATTTGTTTTCTCTATTTGTCCATCTCCTCATCAATGTATTCTTCTGTGTGTTAGACCGTTAATTGTAGGTATAGACTCTTGGTCGGTTGGTAGCCAAGCGGTTCGGCGTGGATGATTTGTTCACTCACTCGAATTGACTGCCGTGTTGGTCGGTGGTTCAAACCCTAGTCTGAACGATCGATCTTCACTTGCTACCGTCCAAACCGTGTTAGGAATCACACGTTAAAAGGTAAGACCTCGTTGATCCTTAGCTCGCACAAGTTTCGGCTTCTGAGGGTTGTCGTTCGTAGGGATGCAACAGCTGGTTAACGGAAAAACAGATTTTAATCAGATTTTTTTTTAACTCTTCTCCCTTCAGGGCAGCTGTGAAGTATAACACAAACCGAAATGCTGCTACGCATTGAAAGCACCCAGGATGGAAAATGTTAAAGATGGGATCCTACATAATATATATTTTGATTGTATTTGTTTTTTAATATTTTACATTATTCTTTAATGCAGTTTTTCTCCTTTACTCTCTTTATCTTGTTTTTTTCTTCTTCAGTTCGATTTTATTATATGCCAAAAAATTGTTGATCAATTTAACTATTTTTAGATTTCTCCATTTTCGATAAACATTCGATACGTATCCACATTTGGCACAGTTTTGATTGGACATTCGAAAAAAATATGTTCCAGAGTTTTCTCTTGCCAAGTTTCCTCCTGAACACACTTATCTCGTTCTCTATGTAGGTATTGAAACATAAAATGTCAACAGAAATCTCCAAAAACAAAAAATTGTCTATCTCGATAAAGATCTGTGCAACATTTTGGCAGTGGTTGGACACCGATGACCCATCCAGGCACCCCAAAGGCAAAAACCAACAAAAAAAAAATGGTTACTATATGGTGGTCAGCGGCTGGTGTTATTCACGACAACTTTCTGCAACCACATCCAATCGGCACCTTTCAACAGAAAAGGCTCGATCCTGCTCCACGACAACGTCCGTCCGCTCGTTCCACAAATCACCGTCCAAAAATTAAACCTCAGACTTCTCGCCAACCGACACGCATCTTTTCAAACACTTCGATAACTTTCTCACCAGTTGAACCTTTGCCAATCAGCAGGACCACGAAAAACAGCTTTCGTCGACTTCATCGAATCCTGAGTACGCAATTTTTATGAGGATTCCATGGATGACGTCTTCGTAAAGAGACGTTCACTTTTAAATTGACTATTTATTTTTCATCGTTTCTGAAGAATAAATAGTTTAACGATTTTTTATATATATCCAAGATATATTATATTGGAGTATTTATATTACTGATAAATATCACAGGAAAATCATTATTCATTGAAATATTTTCATGAAATTTCTGGCGTTTCTTTAAATACATCCAAATGATAACTGACTGTTTTATACAGGGCTATTGAAATTCGTTTCTGTAGATGGGGATCTCGTAAACGATAAGTGATAGAACGTCGGTTAAATTATGGCAAAGTTGCCTATTTTAGAGACCTATTCAATGATGTGAAGAAATCGAATATAGCTCTTCTGGTTCTGGAGATATACAGGAAAAACCAAAAAATCCCAAATTATTTTTTTGCCTATATCTTCTTTATTTGCAGACATATTGAAAATCTGTCCACATATTGCTATCGGCACTTGATGTGGGCTCTCAGAATATATCCATGAATATTTTATACAGGGTGTCATCTGACTTTCATTGAATTTTTAAATACGGACCTGTATTTTTCGTTGTAGTTTTTGGATCGTAAACGTTCATTTTATACTGAGAAATTAAATTCAATTTCATATTTCAGGATGTTTCGGTAATATTCGATTATAATTGTGTGAATTATTGCCTTTTAAATTACGGTCCTGAAAATAGCAACTTTCACGTCTCCCTATGTATCGTAGAGTTTTTCGAGAGTTTTTTTTTTCATTTTTAGGTACCTATTCATATTTTTTCCATTGCTCTGAGCGTTTTCTACAATGAACTTCGAATAAGAAAACCTTTTATGATTATTTGAAACATATCTACATCAAAAATATATTATGTGTTTTAATAAGCAGAAAAAGAAATGATGTATATCTATGTATATCTCCAGAACCAAAAGACCTATATTCGATTTCTTCACATCATTGAATAGGTCTCTAAAATACACAACTTTGGCACAATTTAACCGACACTCGACATCCCCATGTACAGAAACGAATTTGAATAGCCCTGTATATTTTGAAGATCAATTCAATTTATCGAGAGTAGCACTTTTGTTCTTGTCAACGAGTTTTCATCATACTTATTCTGTTTTCTGATCTTTCACAATCTCTATGAGGGTAATGAAGAGCAACCTATGAATTTTTGACTGCTACACAAAAAAGAATATTCTATATCTAATGATGTTGGGCACTTCTGATTTTACAGGCTGAAGAATCAATATACTATGTTTACGACAGCCAGTGGTACGAAAATCTGTCGAATACAACAAAATGCATAATCAACATGATCTCTCTAAGAGGACAAAGGAAAGTTTTTATCACTGCTGGTAAATTTGTGAATTTGAGTATGGAAAGTTGCTTAGCGGTAAGAAAAATTGCTATACTGCTGACTGCAATTTTCAATTTGGGGATAACTTAAAGATTCGTTTAAATAATGGTTCAAGCTATAACATTGTGGAATGATAGTTATCTATTTAAATAAATTCAAAGTACATTAGTCATCTACGAGGGGCATGCATAATTGCAGTAGGTATATATTTTTGAAATCTGATTCGCCTTTTTTTCTCGATCAGGGAAATTTTGTATTGCAAAATGTATTATTATTCAGGTTACGTTTACATCATCATTTATTTATTGAAAAATTCTTTTCTAAAATAATTATTGTTCGGAAGTACATAAATGTTATTTTGCGAGATGCAAGTGAATGATTTCTTCAATGCTTTCTACGCCAAACAAGATTCATGCTCAAAAAATAAAAAAAATGAGGATTTGGGAAATACTTTTCACTCTGAGAGGAATTACTGGCTCATCTTTTCTCACTCCGAAATAGTTTATTTGGTAATAATAAAAACTTATTTTGTACAGAAGAAAATATCTTTTGATCCATCAAAGATGTGAACTACGTTTTACAAACATACCTAGGGGCATAAGAAAGTTCTTACAAAATGAAAATTCTTCAAACTTCAGTATTCTCTAGTTACTTTTTTTTCGAATTCGCCTCATGAGTATGTCACTTGAATATTTCAACGTAATTATCGCGCGACAAAGTACATTCAAGCTGCCTTGGTTATGTTTTACGTAGTGAATCACTTTAAAGGTTGAGGTAGCATTTCTGTTTTGGGTTTTTTGGATAGATACGTACCAACCTATATCAGAATTGAAAGTGATAGTTGTGTAGATACTTTTGTTCGAGGGAATTTCATCAAAGCTTATCACAATTAGTTACAAGCTGATGCGACATTAAAAAAATTGGCATATGCCATGCTCTGCTACCCGTGCAAAATCGAAACGGGTTGCTGGTAATATTGTATTTCATTTCAATGTATATTAAAAACTCAATAGTCAAAAAATATCAGCCGAAGATGAGCCACTTGAAACATGTTCAAATCGAACAACAGAATCATATACTACTGCGATAATTTATAAGATATTCCGGAGTTCATATTGTTATTATGAGAATTGATGTGTTTTTATGAATTTTTATTATATTAATGAAATTGAATTCTAAAAGATCATGTTGAATTTGGAGACGGTATTTCAGGCAAGTTGAAGTCAAATATATAAATCATACTAAGTTAATGAGTCCTTCCGCGACTCTCGCTATCGAATCCACTAATATTCAAAATAGTAAGTTTATTGATTTCGAGTTACCTTCTCCAAATTCGTCATGGCCTCTTGGGTTACTAATTGATACTTGTGATGAACTGTTTGGAACCTTTGGTGTAGTAATGAATATTACCGGAGTTTTTTCCCAACACCGAACCGTTATTTTAACACTTCGACACGTGTTTCTATCACCAAGTGATCATCTTCAAGAGGAAGATCAAACTGAATAGAGATCAAGAGGAAGATTAGTTTCATCTTGCAACACCAAACCATCATTTCAATACCTCGACACGTGTTTCGATCACCAAGTGATCATCTTCAAGAGGAAGATCAAACTGAATAGAGATCAAGAGGAAGATTAGTTTCATCTTGCAACACCAAACCGTTATTTTAATACCTCGACACGTGTTTCGATGATCACCAAGTGATCATCTTCAAAAGGAAGATCAAACTAAGGAGAGATCAAGAGAAAAATCAGTTTGATCTTCCTCTTGAAGATGGTTACTTGGTGATCGAAACACGTGTCGAGGTGTTAAAATAACGGTTTGGTGTTGGGAAAAGACTCCAGTAATATTCATTACTAATAGATGTTTGAAGCTCTATTATTAGTTATTGTTTCTTTTTCTATTTCAGGCATACAAAACAGTTTTTTCGTATTACATGTTTTTGATGACGATGCAAAGAAAAGATGACACAAAATAATCATTTCGAAGCAATGATAGAAAATATTCGCTTATTCAATTGACGATGGAATAAAGATATCATTAAATTTGTCATTTCTGTTTATGTATTTCGACAAACATCCCTAAAATTGATTTGTTCATTTTTCAGAACAAGTACATTGTGTGTAATATCTAGCCTCTTTTAGAAGTAGGAGATGAAGGAGAGTGTTAAAATTCAAAGATGTAAAAACATTGGGCTTGATTGAAACATTGTTCAATATACAGGTATTCAGTAGGAAATTGGTGTTTCTTAGTTGAGGTTTTTTGTAACAGGAGGATATATTAATTATTAGAAATAAACGTTCATTTTTGTGGTCTGTACTACAAGGAATACTATAAACAAAACTCATTCAAATATGAAATAATAATGAAAATAACCATAAAAATATAAATGAGTTATCTGTGAATGTAACCACATGAATATTTATGTAAATATGAAATTAAAATAAATGGGATTATTTAAGAAGAGTGTGAATATGTGACCTCAAAATTTTTATTGAGGCTTTTAGAGATTCAAATTTCAACTTCTTCAACGAAATATTTCGGCAGGATAAACGAAAAATTTTCGAATTGTACCTTTAGCCCAAACAAAAAAAATTTATTGTTTGAATATCATCGGTTGAATTGAAACTTTTCTCTGAACTCCGACACAAGCACTTTTCCAAATCACCAAAAATGCATAACTCTCCTCGAAGCTTGTTTCACCAATCAATTTTATTCTTCAGGAGATGACGAAACCTAATTCCTAACTCTCAATTTATATTCAACAGGACACACGTTAACTTCAACTTTTCAATACACAATAATGGTTTCGGGTAGAAATTTGCGGAAAATTTTCTCGTGAAAATTTTAACAGAGTGCGATACAGATGGAGCTACATACTGAAACACCTTAGGAGTATCGGAATCAGCCAATACCTGATCAACGTGGTGGAGAACTATTCTACTGTTAGACAGATATTCATCTACCGAACAAAAATGATGATGAACCAGTGCGTCCCACAGGGCTCGGTCTTTGGACATTGCCTGTGGAGTGTCCTATACGACTGGGTTAGGTTAGGTTCAAAGTGAGTGGGTCTCTTCGACACTCCACCGCAAATGGCAAGGGTTTATGGTGGGTCACACCTATTCACACTCGACCAAATGAACCTAGTTTCTTAACGAAGTCGATTAGTTTGTATTGTGAGTGGTCGTTCAGTTCAGATGGTAAGAGTACGGCTCTGCCGAATTCTAAAAACCCGATTTTTTAAACAGAGGCGACACATACTGTCTTCCGACAGTCCTAGTCTCTGCATATGATGATTCAAATGACAGTGACCTGTTAGAAGGCCTGTTAGACATCGTAGTTCATCCCTACTGTAGCCCAACAACTGTTTGGTATCAAGCTCCGAAGGGTGAATAATGGCCTTGGAGTGAGCCAATCCTGAAAGATTCTGCCAGAAGTCCATAAATCTTCTTGCCATCCAGGTGTTCAATCTTTGTTTGGCAAAGCCTAAAGCGATGCCAATGACAGGTTCTGGTCCGATGAAACTGCTTGCAGCCCCCCCTTTGCAAGGGAGTCAGCAGCTTCATTGCCTTCCGACCGACCGGGTACTGAGGGTGGTGCTGCACCGCCCCATATGATGACAATCTGGTCCTCATCGTGAGGGGTCAGTCCACCCGTGCCTCCAATTGAAAAAGCGAACGAGAACAATTGAACGGAGCAAGTTTTAAGCCAATGCAGAAGTTTTCTCCTCCATGAAAAAGGTCCGGTTTGGTTAGGTCAAGTTCGATAACGTTAGGTCCGGTTAGGTTTGGTCAGGTTAGATAAGGTTCGGTCATGTCAGCTTAGGTTAGGTACACTGGGATCTGTGAAACTTTGATGTTAATGAAGGATCTTAGTACTTATAATGTCGGTGGGAGTACAAACTCTTGGTTGGGCTGCCCTTGCAGTAAGATTGTCAAGCGATATACGAAGCCAATAAGGACAGTCGATGAATCTCCAAACTCAAGATGTGGCACAATCGTGCCCGAGGGATACATGGCGTAGGGGTTGAAGTGCGTCGCGAGCGATGCCTACCAGACTTGGCGACCCGGTGGGGACTTAGCCTTATTTCTGCAGGCGGGGCACTTCGGACTGTTTTTTCCCTAGCTGCTTGTCAAAATGACAAGGAACATGAAGCAGAAGATTATAAGTGTCTCCCTCCTCTGGGACTCCATGTAGACCTAGGAGTTACTCTATGAAAACGAGCAGGAAGTCACGATGGCACCGGAGTCAATTACTGGCATAATCCACTCACACATCGAGTATTCTGACGAAGAAGCAGAGGGTGAAACCAGGAAAAAATATTGATGGAGATACTAATTGAGAGTGAAAATAAGGAAGAATATGAAAAAAAAACTTTTCACACACATCATACAGAAAATGGGCAAACTAAACACCTTTGTTGATGAGAATGCAAATACTAAAAAAAGGACGCGAAAGATATCCAGAAGCAGGTAAAAAAATTTGAACACAACTTAGAAGTGAAATGAAGAACGAAAAACTTGTGCAACATAGATTAGTTATGGAGACATCAAGATAGAATACAAGAAGAGAACGGAAAAAGATATGAAAAATCTCAGAAAGGATAGAACTTCAGGAGATCATTGACCAGAAGTGGTCAGAGAATTGGTTCGCAAACATGGAAATGAGATATTATACACATGTTGGATACATTGTGGACCCCCGTGGAACAGAAAAATATAATACACGAATCAAAGAATTTTCTATAGTTCATGATTGTAAAATCTTATTGCAAAGCGCTTTCAACTTTCTTCATCATCAGTGCTCACCTGGAAGTAAATAATCTGATTGAAAAGAGAGCTTTTGTGAAAATTGAAGTTTGAATTTTGAGGTTATGAATTTAGGAAAATTTTCATAGCCCCAAAATTCAAATTTTAATTTTCACAAAAAATTTTTTCCAATTAGATTATTTACTGCCAGGTGAGCACTGATGATGAAGAAACTCGAAAGCGCTTTGCAATAAGTTTTTCTGTTCAAAAATCTGTTTAAAATCTGTTCTTCCCTCAACCAGCTGTCGCAACCCTACGAACGACAACCCTCAGAAGTCGAAACTTGTGTGAGCTGAGGACTAACGAGGTCTTACCTTTCAACGTGTGATTTCTAACACGGGTTGAACGTTCACCGACCAACACGTCGGTGTTTATGTTAACATCATAATAAAAGATGCAAGTTTCATTTTCACAGAACGAAAACTAATTCAGTGCATTGTGATTTCTTTAACAGCTTAGTCGTTAAAATCTCTCTTCTCGTCTTGCAGGAAGTATCTACCCTTCCGGACATTTTATTATTGACCAATCAGAACGTAGACATGTTTGAATTTGAATGATTATTCTCGTTCTGCAGGAAGCATTTACCCTTCCGGACATTTTATTATTGACCAATCAGAACTCAGACATGTTTGAATTTGAATGATTATTCTTCTTAAAATGGATTTGAGAAATTTGTTGGTTGAACATACAGTGAAAAACAAATGAGCGAAGGAAACTACAATACCGGCGATATGTTGATAACGCTCACACCTAAACGATATCGCTGGTGGTATCATCATGAGGCAGAAATGGTACCTTGACTTCATTTAATGAAATAATAATAATAATGATGGTAACAATAATATATAGCTCCTTCCCAGCCTGATAAGCAGGGATGGCCACTAACACCCATGGCCTTTGGTGAGTAGCGTCACCACTTACCCGAGCAACTGGTGAAAAACCGGACCGGCAGCCTAGGCGCACTCGGGAAGGAGAACACTATTCTCTCTCCGATGCCGGCCGTGGGTCCACATGGCTAACCACCCGGTGAACCCAACACTTGGTTCCTAGTAATCGAGGAAGAAACCCCCACAATCGACCCACTCGAAGGGGCCGGGGGCAAGGTGGTGGGGCCCATAACGATGATTTGACTACCGATGACAACCCTGGCAATGACAACGAACGTTTTGAGTGGACGCATGAGCTGAGAGATAGCCTCATGCATTGCTACGAGAGTAGTGAGCTCGCGCGAAGAGGGTACATGGCGAGACTTTCTTTCAGTTTGTGTCTGAAAGTTACTTCTTTGCATGATCTACACATCCATGTATAGCGTTACTTATTTTCAAATTGATTACTTCCTTCCTTTCTTTGGAAGATTCTCTCATCCATTTTTTTGTATCAGATGGAGTAGTAGAAAGCCAAAAATTTCTTTGCATGATCTACACATCCATGTATAGCGTTACTTATTTTCAAATTGATTACTTCCTTCCTTTCTTTGGAAGATTCTCTCATCCATTTTTTGTATCAGAAGGAGTAGTAGAAAGCCAAAAATTTTCTTTCCCAAAAAAAATATCAATAATATATTTGAAAATAAAAAATTATTATCACAAAAAGAAATCGTCTATGGAATAACAACACTTACGAAGAAGGATCTTTGTCAGCTTTGATTTAAAAAAATGATTATTGGGGAATGATTTTATATGATCATCAAGAATATTATAGAGCTTATAACCAACATAATAAAAATTTCTTTGGTACAGAGATATGCGATGAAAATCAGGCTGCAAGAGATTTCTATAACGGGTGATTGTCATCTGCTGCAAACTTTTTTTTATTCTAATAGTGGAGTGCCTGGAGCATTCAAAACCGTAAAACCTCAGATTAGAGTTATAGTGAATGAATTGATATGATCGATGTGGGATATTGTTTTTTAAACTATAAATTGCGATGTTTACCCAAATTTTTTTTGTGCACTCCATTTTTTCATTGTTTAAACAAATTATTATAAAAAATTAATGTTTGACCATATATTTTCACTTTAAACAGTAATTTTTTTTATTTATATGTTAAATCTTACCTGAGTAGACATATAGGAACATTTTTCAAAGATACGTGTGTATAAAAATAGCAGTAGGATCTCGAACAGGTAGAAAAACGTGGTGGGGAGAGCGGAGCGACAGCTGCTATGTACAATGGAATTTCTCGGCCAGTTTAATTATAAATGAAACGTACTCTAGTGTACATTTAAAAAATAAGGTAATT